ATATATATAAAATGTTTCTGAAAGGAAACTCTAAATAGGTAAAGATCAATCTTCAGAAAAGATGGTTTAACTGGACAACCTTAAACTAGGCTAGAACAAATATTTGTTATATCCTAGGGTGGAAAGAAAGAAATCAGGAATATTATCAGATAGCAAAGAGTATGAAGAAAGAGTATGAAGTCCACTCTACCCACCTTGCCTGGTTTCTGGGGTTTTTTTGTTTTGTTTTTTTACTTTAATAAAATGTGCATTCTAAATCTGCCTCTTTCTTTTCCCTTATCCCCTAAAATAAAAATAACGTATTGCAGGTTTTGTGGACAGAGGAGGATAATGTATGTTGGAAGGGTTAGAGACTAGTGGATGTTTCAAAACTGTGAAAATGAATACGTTGAATCCACAATGAAATCTGCAAATAGAGGGAAATGGATGCGTATTTGCCCGTCTTTGGGACTTCTTTGCCACAGAGTGCTGGCAGTGGCTTCCTACGCTCACTGGTGGGTCTTGTGAGTTTTTCAGCCATTTCACAAAGTCTCCTGTCAAAATTAAGAGGAGGTTGAACACTTTTGAGCCATAGCAAATGGTAGAGATTTTAACCACACATACACCACTGTCTGTGAAGCGACCCTAAGTAGAGATGGGGCCCCAGTTGCTTTGTGCCGGGTCGTCTCAAGTTGGTGCTGCACCACAGCTGGCCTTCCTTCCCTTCCCCCACCCCCAGCCAGCTCCCCCACTCACTAGCTGGCGCGTGTGACTCGTCTCCTCGTTGTTGGATGGTCCTGTCCCGGCAGGAGTTCCTTCTTCCCTCCTCTGCCTCCTCTGGCAGCCGCCCACTCTGACGAGGAGGCAGGGATGCCTATAGCACTTGGGACGACCCGGCACGAAGCAATGCATGCCCATCTCTACCCCTAACCTTAGGCTGGGAAACCCCGACTTTCCTTTAACCAGCACCTTGTCTGAAGCTGTCAATGGGATCTTTGCTCAGGAAAAAAAAGCTGTTCCAATCTGTATGTTCAGTGCGATCAATGCTTTGATTTACGATTCCACAGTAAATGTTTATAAACAGTTTATGTGCTACCAACGGCTTGCCTTTTGACTCCTGCTTATTCGGTGATTTAATCCGTGGACCACAACTCTGACCCTCGTTCTGTTTATTGAGACTTACACCTGCAAAAGGTATGTGAATTGTGCCCCCCCCAAAAGGGGGCAAAACCCTGCCAAAACCCCCCAGCCCCCCCCCAGCACATTCTCCTTGACTGGGCAGAGAGCTTCCTATAGTCAGCTCTTGCTCACCCATCTTCAGAGATATTTGTAAACATTGCGTAAGATGGGTGTGAAAGAACACGCTCCAGCCAGGAATGGTTGAGTACCAACTTGCAGCAGAATGTCCACCAAATTTTACGTGGTCCAGTACCATGAATAATCATTGTAGTGACGGTTGGACAGGGTGCATCAGTATTGTGCGTGATGCAAAATGAGGAGTGGTCTGCAGGCATTTTAGTCAAGCGGTCTGCGGTCACCCAGCAAGTTTGATGGCCAAGTGGATGGAACTGGAACCAGGTCCACCACATTGGCATTCCATCCCGATATACTGAGTCTTGAACCTTAAGGGCTGAGCGATGCACAAGAGAGAAACTTTCTGTTTCAGCAGACATGCTTATGACATAACTGGAAAAATTTAACAATACAGTAGGACCCCCTTGTATCAGTGGGGGGGTTGGTTTGAAGCCCTCTCAAGGATGCCAGAAAACATGGATTATAGCTAACGTGGTATCATACCCCCTCTAGTGGCTATTTCTGGTAACTTCACCTTTAGAAATACATATTTCTTGGGTTTTTCTTTTAATATTTTCAGACTGTGGATCAGTGAATCAGTAGATACTGATCCTGTAGATAACAGGGGTCCTACTGTCATGCCTAAAAGAAAGAACTTACTGGCTGAAAGACTGCAGAACGACCCAAGAGTCTTACGGCATATTAACAGACTAACAAACTTCTTGAAGACGGGACCTTCCGGCAGCTGCATGGGACATAGATAGCCTCAGCAGTCAGATGGTTATACACATCCAGGAAGGAATGTGTATGGAAATAAAAAAATCATTACGGGAGGAGTGTAGCATATTAATCGAATTGCTTTACTATTATTTTATCTTCTTCCCCCTCCCCCACGTGTGCAAATGAGCTGACCCCCCCCCCCCCCCAATGAGGAAGCAGCCTTAGCAGCTCTCCATGGTTGGTGTTATTTTAGCCCTACTTGGATGTGGCAAATTTGAACTCAGAACCTCTGGTATGAAAAGCAGATGCCCCGCCATGGAATTATGAGCCTGTGGCAAAGATAAATATATAATTTGCATTTCTTTGAAACTTTTACGAAACCCTGTTCTTCCCCACCCAGTTACAAACCCATCCCTCTCTGCTTTTAATCTTTTTTTAAAAAGAAATGCATAAGCAATAGTCTGAATTCATAGCTTTATTGGAAGTGCCTGAGCTTCTGGCCTCTGAAGCCCTTTGTTCAAATTTTTGAGCGCTTGGATAATGGGGTCAAGCCTTCTTGATTCTTGCACAGCTGTGAACAGACACACCTTCCCCTTCAAGAAATCTCCTTTGGGGTTTGTTGTGAGTAAAACTAAGTCTTCCTGTCCAACCCAGGTATGAAAAAAGTTGCAGATACTCAGATTTAAAAGAACATCCCTCCCAAATACATATGTAATGCAGGACCTCACCATTCTAAATTTTAACCCACAAAGCCAGTCTTGCTCCCTCCACATATCCAACTGGCCCCGAAGATCCAGGATTTGATGGTTGTTGTGGGTTTTTCGGGTTCATCACCCAGGATTTCCTAAGAAATAGGGCGTGCTTGGGAATGAGAGCAAGGTGCCTGTGAAAAGTGAGAGCCTGTTTCCCTTGAGAAGGACCCAAGGAGTTGAGCATCTCCCACCCCTAGTAGATTAGGCATCATTCAGTCTCGAGAGGCGATGGTCATGTGCTCAGAATAGAGGTCTTGGAACAGCGTCTAGTGGGGTTGAGGAGGCCAATTCGAGAGTGACCATCCCTTCCACACTGAAGACAAATACAATCTGTCCCTCGTCCACCTCCCTGATTTTGCTGCTTTCGGGATGGCCTCTTTGCCTCGGCCTGCTGGACAAGGGTCTCTTCAAATTGGGAGAGGCCATGATGCAACGCCTGGCTAAGCGCTCAGAGGTCAAGGTTTCCCATCATTTGAGGTCCATTCCTAAGGCCTTCAGATCCCGCTTGCAGATCTCCTTGTATCGCAGCTGTGGTCTCCCTCTGGGGCGATTTCCCTGCACTAATTCTCCATACAGGAGATCTTTTGGAATCCGACCATCAGCCACTCTAATGGCATACAGGAGATCTTTTGGAATCTGACCACTCTAATGACATGCCCAAGCCAACATGCTAACAATTCCAGCTCATTCTAGGACTACCCTATTTGGAACTTTTTCCTGCCAGGTGATATAGAAACACATTGGAGACAACGCATATGGAAGGTGTTCAGCTTCCTCTTCTGCCTTGCACAAAGGGTCCAGGGCTCACTGCAGTACAGGAGTGTGCTCAGGACACAGGCTCTATAGACCTGGATCTTGGTATATGTCATCAGCTTTTTATTAAGCCAGACTCCTACCCCTAAGAGCCGTCACATTTTGCTTCTCTAGCAACACTCAGATTGTATTGTTGCCACTCATGCAGTGGTGGGTTCTTGCTCTGTCCTGTCATTCCCTTCCTGTGAGCGCACAATCGGTTGCTTCTTCACCTTCCATGCCAGTAGAATAAGATAACTGCCGGAATCATCACAATATGGACACCACATAACAGTGTGACTGTCAAGGTTTTAGTTTGTAGAAAACTATCTACGTGTGACTCAAAGCTTTGAAAGACTGCAGTTGCAAAAGTACAGTTTACCAGCCTAAGACTCACAGGTATTAAAAGAGAATTTCCATAAGTTTAAAGGCTTTAAATTACACCCATGGGTTTTCTTGATCATCTGAACAAGGTATGGAACAAGGTCTTCAAGCCCGATGATGTGCCAACATCTTTCCATCATCCACTCAAGAGCATGATCAAACAGGATACATGCATAGGCAGGGCTGTGGAGGAAGAAAACCTGCAAGAAATCTCCCACTCCCATTTATAACTACAGTAGGACCCTCCCATATCCTATATCCATATATATATATGCGCATTACCAGATCTCTTCACTAGAGGGTGCCAGAGACCACCAGCATGGTTTCTAGTTCCTAGTGGCCAGTTCTGGTAATACATGTGAAAAAAAATTCTGGATTTTAAAAATATTTACTATTTTCAGACATGGGTAGGTGTAACCATGGATACCTATCCTGTGGATACAGGGGTCCTACAGTACAAACTTTTCAACAAAAGGCAGTATCTCTGGGACTCTTTAGATAAAGATTCTGCCCATCCAGGGTATCTCATGGAAGGGATGCAACTAGAGAATCCCGTACTGCTTTTCACGAGCGGTGAAACTGCCTGTGCCTAAGCAGGGATCCCTAGATAAAGGCCAGAGCAATTAGGCAACCTGGAGCCCTCCAGATAGTTTAGTATCACATCTCCCATCATGTCTGTTCACTGGTCATGATGGAAGTTGCCATCCGGAACACCTAGAAAGCATATCCTGCGGATTCCTTTGAAAGCATATCAAGGATTCCTTGATACAGAAACGGTCTCTGTCAATAACAAAGAGTATTAATAACAGAAGAAAAATCAAATCAGCCAACCTTAGAAAAAACGCCTGTCAAAGATTTATTGCAATAATACAATAAGGTGTTGTTTTTTAAAAAAAGACACATACACACACCCATCTGTGTTCAGTTATAACCCTAACGTTTTGAAAGCAGCACCACGTGGTGAAGATCTTTGACTGGAGCTGTGAAACGCTTCTCTTTTGGAGGATCTGTTTCCAGAGAGTGGGGCCCTCATGTCAACAGCTCCCCAAAACGTCTTTGAGGGCTTGGCCCTAAGTGTGCCCTCCTCCATCCGCTTGCAGCGTCACAAGGTACAAGCTCACAAAATGTCCATCTTGCATCTTCCCTGACAGGGACTTCATCGCCGTCCAGTTATGAAGAACATTGCACGGACGCGCGATCCAGATGTGTGTATATGTTTAAAAAAAGTTATTTCAAAAGGAAACGAAACAAAATCATTGTTATAAACATTTTTTAAAAATTGAAACGTTGATAGGGGCCTCCGGTTGGGCGGCCTCTGAATGGATGCTACACTATTGCAAGAGAGAGGCATCGTTTGTAAGACAAGGGAACATGGGTCAACGTCCCAGGGGCTTCGTGGCCCAACGGTATTCAACTGGGCTCGGTTCGCCAGAGTTGAACTGGAAAATGGCTTCCTCACACAGACTTTGAGGGTGTCTTTCGTTTAACCAAAACATAAACGAGCAGCAGAAAAGTTGATTCACAACAGAGGTGGGAGAACACAAAGGTTTCCGGCTAAGTATAGGTGTGCCACCCTCCAGTGCCATCAAATTTTATACCAGGCAGCCTCTTACCGAGTATTAATAAAGTGCCTTTCTAAAAAGAACCCCCAACATTGTTGGACACTGGAAGGGCTTGCAGGACAATTCCTCACCCCACCCCAACCATGCACAAATTCTTCATGCTTCTCCCATCCCCTGCAGCTTCAACCAAAGTCAATAATGATGCAAACGACCCACAACCTTTACAGGGCTCCTAAATTCGCCTTTGGCAACTGGGAAAAATCTCACTGCGAGGGGTCAGGATCAAAAGACAGAATGAGCAGAATCTTTGGTTTAGAGGAACAGAAATCGGAGCCACGAAGCCTCCCCTCCTTCCGTGGATCGCCGGAGCTGCTGCTCCTCTGCAAGAGCCACCTGGTTGAGAGATGGTAGAGCCTCACGGAATTATTTCACTCTCAATTCCAGGCCAAAATGGAACAGTCTGCTTCAGAGAAATTCACAAAACGCACCTGCCCGGCACTGATTCAACACCGGCAGCCCGTACGTTTCCCTCAAAAGACTCTTTGGTGCCGCCTGGTTCCTGCGAGAGTGACCGCGAGGATGTCTCCACGGTGCAAGCGTTTTGTTTCCCCAAGATTTTCCTTCCTGGGCAAGGCGGCGTGCCTTCCACCGGAGTCATCCTTCAGCGTGGCGTGCCCTGCAGAGAGTGCGAACTTGCAGAAAAGCAACCGAGACAACAGGCAGGGCAAAGGGCCGGCTGACCTGCCGACTGGCCTCCGTCAATGCAGAGCGAACACTTTTGGTTACTGGGAATGATAACAATGTAAGTGGGAGGGAGGGAACCCAGGAAAAAAAGGAGTAGGAAGATAGAAGTCAGACAAAAGAGGTCTGACACCAGACACGTCACACTCTCCTTACTGTGTCGCAACACAAAGCAACAGCTGCCCAATGTAGTGAGATGCTGTACATTCTCTCTCTGGATGGGAAAAGTTTTGGACCTATGACAAGCCAAGGCCTGCTTTGGAAGTCCAGTAATGGGTGACCTACTTCCCATGACCGGGCAGCCGTGCACCTTGATTCCCAAATCACATGAGACCTGGAGAAGGGGAAGATTAGGTTCTGAACCATAACTCTCTGAATTATTCAGCCTGCATGTCACCCCCCAAAAATAACATTTCCACATAATATTTTTTGTGTGCTTATACACATCAGCCCGATTTTACCCACCCGAGTGAAGAGGGGGATCGATACAAACACAGCTAAGGGCCTTGGTGGGGAGTGCCCATGTCATAGGATACACTGGTGTGGAAGGGAAGACCTGCGCAGATCCCTAACTGCAGGAGCTGGTGACCGGCTCGGTGAAGAGACTGAACTTTGGACTTGAAAATCCAAGCCGTGAGTTACAACTTCTAAAGCGGATCAAGAAGGAAAAGTAGACAGAACCATCAAGGAAGGCACAGCAGCCCTCTGAAGCAACCTTGTCTTAACTTAGAAAAAAAGGGGAGATTTTGCAAAATGTACGAAGGTCATGACCACAGGAGGACTGTTCTCTGTTTTGGCAAAGCTCTTATGGGGTCCAGCTTTTCTTCGGTGACTGGGAGACAGAGCGCAGGGTCTAGGATTTGGGAGGGGGGGAGAGAGAGGTGGGGGAGAGGCTCAGCATGACAAACGTTCAAGCAGACCGACTTCTGGAGGAACACATCACCCACACAAAAAGGCGAAACCTACCCATCCATGTTCTTCTTTTCAAAAACCCATTGATTTTGGAGAACGGTGATGGGTTTTCTATATCAAAGTTATGGCAACAGAAATCAGAAACCATGTAAAAAAAAAATGCATCGCTCGTACATCTTCCCAGAAGGCTCCGGAAATGTGCCTTTGTGCTGTTAAAAAAATTAAAATGTCCCATGCATTGCGAGACACAACACATAAGAAACCTGGGAACCCTCTTTTAAAGCCAATGGCCAGGTCACATCCCCCACGTCCGTTTCTTTGTTTTGGACGCACAAACGAAAAGCCACCGAATGCACTGGCGCGTTTCTCCTCTCTCGTCCTTGGCAAAACAGACAGGTCCCAGAAGCACCGAGTTCCAGTTCAGGGACATGAAACGTTGCGTCTTGAAGAATTTACAAACCATTACCAGGTTTCAGCCTGCTTAGTGTCTCGGAATCACAAAATCTGCCTCTTCTTCCTCTTTCCAGGCACTACTTAGCTGAATACTTAAGAGAGGTCTACTAGAGTGTAGGCAGAGCACAGGAAGAGCCTTCCCTGCAGAGTCTGACCCCCTTCCTTCAGCGGTGCCCAGTGTATGCTTTGAACCAGGAGGTTACAGAGGCCGCTGCCGAGGAGATCATACCCCCGGCGCTGCTCGCGGCGATGGGCTGCGACGCCTGCGTGCTCTGACTCTGGAGCATCTCCACGGCCTGGGAGGGAATGTCACAGAATCGTGGGCTCGGCAGGTTCTCCCAGTCGGTCCCGAGATCGGTCTCCTCGTCGCTGATGTGTTCATCCCCGCTCTCGTCCGTTTCGCCCGCCCCGCTGGGATCCACAAACTCCATGGAGTCCTCCAGGTCGGCACTGATCTCAAACGGACCAGACCTGCGAGCCACAAAGGGGGGGGGGGGGGAATAAAGCTTTCGTCAGACCCTTTGCGAGCTAAGCGAGAGGAATGGCCAGAAGCTAGACAGGATTTGAGCCGCCACGGCAAATCGAAGGGGCCAAGGTTTTGTGAAAAGGGGAGGCCGACAGCTTGGCTGCCCGGCGGCCTCAAGGGAAGGGATCCGGGCCGCCCGCGTTCCACAGCAAATGGGAAGAACTTCCAAAATGTCTAGCAGAAGAATCAATTTTGATTATGGGGAAAAAGTGCCTGCCCCCCCCCGCCAAAGAGCGGCTTCAAAGCCAGAACCAGCCCAGAATGCGGTGCTGATCTTCCAGTCGACACAGAATTCAGGAACCTACGTTGCTTTATAAGGGGATACAGTGGATAGGAAAAAAAACTTACACACCCCTGTTAAAATGTCAAGTGTCTGTGGTGTAAAATAAACGAGACAAAGATAAATCATTTCAGAACCTTTTCCACCTTTAATGGGACCTATGAACTGTACAACTCAGTTGAACAACAAACTGAATTTTTTTAGGGGGAGGGAAGTAAAAATAAAAAAATGAAATAATGTGGTTGCATCTTTGTGCATGTGATGTCGCTGCATTCAGCAGTAAACACTCACATTTATTTATTTATTTATTTATTTATTTATTTATTTATTGGACTTATATACCGCCCCATAGCGCTACAAGCACTCTCCGGGCGGTTTACAATTTAATTATACAGGCTACACATTGCCCCCCCAGCAAGCTGGGTACTCATTTTACCGACCTCGGAAGGATGGAAGGCTGAGTCAACCTTGAGCCGGCTACCTGGGATTTGAACCCCAGGTCGTGAGCACAGTTTTAGCTGCAGTACAGCATTTTAACCACTGCGCCACGGGGCTCATTCAAATGCATGTTAAGTAGGAGTCATCAGTACACCCCTGCTATCCTTTTAAATGCCTCTGAGGAATCCCAAATAAAGATCAGCTGTGCTAGTAGGTCTTTCCTGACATTTCCTTAGTCACATCCTACAGCAGAAGCTATGGTCTACAGAGAGCTTCCAAAGCATCCGAGGGATCTCATTGCTAAAAAGGTATCAGCCGTGACAAGAGTACAAAAGAATTTCCAAAGCATTAGATCTACCATGGAACACAGTGAAGACAGTCATCATCAAGTGGAGAAAATATGGCAGAACAGTGACATTACCAAGAACTGGACATCCCTGCAAAATTGATGAAAAGACTAGAAAAAAATTGGTCAGGGAGGCTGCCAAGAAGGCCTACAGCAACACTAAAAGAGCTGCAGGAATATCGGCAAGTACTGGCTGTGTGGTACATGTGACAACTATCTCCCCTATTCCTCATATGTCTGGACTATGGGGTAGAGTGGCAAGCCTTTTCTTACAAAGAAAAGCATCCAAGCCTCGCTCAATTTTGCAAAAACACATCTGAAGTCTCCCAGAAGCATGTGGGGAAAAGTGTTACGGTCTGATGAAACCAAGATTGAATTTTTCGGCCCTAATTTTGTTTGGCACAAAAACAACACAGCACATCACCAAAAGAACACCATACCCACAGTAATGCATGGTGGGGGCAGCATCATGCTTTGGGGCTGCTTTTCTTCAGCTGGGACAGGGACAGTAGAGGGAATTATGAACCGTTCCAAATCCCAGTCAATATTGGCACAAAACCTCCAGGCTTCTGCTAGAAAGCTCAACAAGAGGAGGAACTTCATCTTTCAGCATGACAACGACCCAAAGCATACATCCAACTCAACAAAGGAATGGCTTCACCAGAAGAAGCTTAACGTTTTGGAACGGCCCAGCCAGAGCCCAGACCTAAATCCCATTTAATATCTGTGGGGTGATCTGAAGAGGGCTGTGCCCAGGAGACGCCCTTGCAATCGGACAGATTTGGAGCATTTTGGCAAAAGAAGAGCGGGCAAATATTGCCAAGTCAAGAGGTGCCATACTAATAGACTCATACCCAAAAAGGCTGAGTGCTGTAATGAAATCAAAAGGTGCTTTGACAAAGTAATAGTTTAAGGGTGTGCGCACGGATGCAACCATATTATTTCAGTTTTTTATTTTTACTTCCCTTCCCCTAAAAGATTTCAGTTTGTTGTTCAACTGAGTTGTACAGTTCATAGGTCTCGTTAAAGGTGGAAAAAGTTCTGAAATGATTTATATCTTTGTCTCATTTCTTTTACATCACAGACACTTGACATTTTAACAGGAGTGTGTAAACTTTTTATATCCTTTGCAGATTCTTCCTCCATGTAGCCCAGGACTGTCAGTTCTGATCGGCAGCCAAAATGCTCCAGGATTCCCAACCAGGATCTTTTCTAGGCCTAACCTGGAGAGTCTCACAATTTTCCCATCCATGTATTACCAGGCCTGACCGTTTAGCTTCTCAAATTAGGACTTCTTGAGCTATCGTCAGGTAATAAGCAGGTCTGTATCCTTCGTCACAGCAAAGGGAGGCCTATAAAAGACACAAACTGGTGTCTAAAGCAAACATCCTCTTTTGACTGCGGCTTCAAGGAGAATCTGCATGTGCCTGGATTATAGAAGGCCCCCAAACTGTTCTCCCCGGGACCACCGAGAGCCACCAATCAGAGCAGATGCTGCTGCGCACCTCGAATGACTGGCTGTGCACCTCGAATGACTGCAAAACATGGCTTTTGGTGCCCTCGGCTATGTGCCCAGCAAGATCCGAACATGGATTTCACAAAAAAAGAAACACTATGTTAGAGAATCAAAAATTGAAGGAGGAGAGTGAGGAGAGTGACCAGTGAGAGGAGAATGGGGATGGTTTGACCAAAGGGGGCCGATGACAGGAAGCAACGGGGTGCAAAAGTGGCCTGTTACCTCCCCAAGTGTTCCGTCTCGGGGCTGACCAGGTACATCAGGTTCCTGAGTGTATGCAGAGGGTGCAGAAAGTCTAGGTTGACGTGCTGGAAAAAGCCAAAAGGAAAAGAGGCAGAGCGTCAGTCAAGCAAGACTTGCAATGAGGAGATGATGAAACTGTCAAGCCACCCAAGAGCGACAAAATGAGCAGAAAGCGAAGCCCCGTACCTGAGAAAAGCAAAGGTAGAGGATATTGGCATTCAGCTTTTTCACTGCCCACGTGAACTTCTTCCTGCTGAGATTCTCCCCGCAGAACTCGCTGCAAAACAAGTGAAGTCATACTTAACGCTGGAGCACTCGCCGCCTCCCGAGGTCATGGGTTCTATAGTCGTACAGTGGTGCCTCGCATTATGATGTTAATTCATTCCAGCGAAATTGCTGTAGAACAAAAACGTCGCAATGGGACAATAAAAAGCCCATTGAAACGCATTGAAACCCCTTCAATGCCTTCCAATGGGCTGGAAACTCGCCGTCCAGCAAAGATCCTCCATAGGGCAGCCATTTTCGGTTGCTGTCTTGTGAGGAATCCGTCCCAGAAAACAGCGGGTAGCCATTTTATTTACCCGGCAGCCATTTTGAAATCACCAATCAGCTGGAGGAAAATCGTCGTTTTGCGAAGAATCAGTTCCCAAAGCAGGGAACCGATCATCGCAAAGCGAAAAAAACCCATTCAGACCACTGTTTTGCAATTGCAAAAAGATCATCGTAATGCGGTTTCGTCGTAATGTGGGGCAATTGTAAAGCGAGGCACCACTGTATTGCTCTGACAGTGAAGAAGGATTTCCATATATTCAGCCAAAAATTGGCTTCCTGTAGCTTGGGCACATGGAACAAGCATATATATAAAAGTGGGGTGAACTTGGGAAAGGCTGCAGGTGACTCAGCTTCAGCCATAGAGTAGGGGTAGGAAATATTCAGTCCTCTGCACCTTCCCCCAGCATCATGTGGCAGCGGAGGCTCCAGTTACTTAACTGGCCTCTCCCTTAACTTACAATGATTAGTGTTGCTGCACTTTAGAGACATCTTCGTAGATAATGCTACATCCTCAAAAGATTTAATGCAGCCCTCCCACTGGGCTTGACTACAACTCCCAGAATCACAATCATACACCCATAACAAAAATACCTTGATCCCCATCATCACCCACCCTCCTGAGAAGGACAAAAAGCTGTTTCCCACAGCTATAAATACTATCCAACAAACACCAACAGAGCATGGACAGAGTTCCAGCTCCTGTTCTCTGAAGATGCCGGCCACAGAGACTGGCAAAACGTTAGGAAGAAGACCCTCCAGAACACGGGCAGATAGCCTGAAAAACCTACAACCACCACTGATTAAAAGCTCTCCAGAGATAAAAGATCTCCAGAGACCTCCAGACAGCTGGAAATAGGTGGAATGTACCACTTGCTTAAAACCTTACAGGTGTATGGCCTGCATGACAAAAGAGGCAGACACTTTCACAGATCTGAACATTCAAAGAGAGATGAGGCTCCTGGACTTACCTGGTATACAGCTTCTTGGGGAGATTCACGTCAAGGATATGGGACAAGGTGTTGACCAGCTGAGTGGCGTAGCACAGTGCAGCGCTAATGGTGTAAGCAGGGTTGTTGTGTTCCATGTCTGCAACGGAATGGAGGGAAACTATCAGCAAGTTGCCTTAAAAGGACTCGGGCCAAGGGAGCAGACTTCTCCTGTGATCGCATAGGGACGATCTGCCACCCCCAGGAGGGAGTTCAGCGTTCAGCCCTGTTTCTGACGGCTGAAACCATCTCTTCAAGGACGAAGGCTAGTGTCCGTGTTCTGCAGATAGCAGGGCTGAAGCTGAATCCCCTGCAGCCTTTCCCAAGTTCAATTCATAGCAGAGGTGGGGACTACATTCTGAATCCCTTCTCGCCCTGTCTTAAGGTCTTCTGCTCCGCCCACCCACGACACACCTATACACAAATCTGCCAAACTGAAAAAATGACACAACTTTTTGTGTTCTGCATAATGAGTCAAGCATCGCTAGTGAGAAGGGTGGGCCTTGAACTGCCAAAGGCACAGCTCAGCCAGGAAAAAATTAGATTTGAAGACTCAGAGATGTGCTTTGATTAATGTTATCCCAACAGTCAAGAGGGCTAGAAAGGTACTGAGCAAGAACCTTGTGACACAGGGATTAAACTGCAATGCTGCAGTCAAGACTCTGCTCGCAACCCAAATTTGATCTTGAAAGGTTCATGTAGCCTTCCATCCTTCTGAGGTTAATAAAATGAGCGCCTAGCTTGCTGGGAGCAAGCCGTCGTTTGCATAATTGTGTTGCGAACCACCTAGAGAGAGCTCTAGCAGTACGCGATGGTACATAAAATGAAACAACCATGTGGGCAGGGAAGCTCGTTTGGCAGGAGAAAGAGTCAAGACTTGCAGGACACTGAACGCTGTGGTCCGTGAGATGCCATTCCGACAAGACCCTAAGCCACCAAGGACTTTGCCTACAGAACAGCAGTGCTTTCCCCGACCTCCATGGCAATGGGGAACACAAAACGCCAACCAGCTTTTTCGGACAAGAGGCAAGCAGACTCAACCAAACAGGATCAAAGACATTTAAATGGCACCGGGCCAGCCCTTTTACCTGGTCCTTGCGTGGTTTTCTTCTCTTCCACCCAGTTGTAATAAGCGGAATAGTCGCCGTTGTTCGGGAGGGTTAACCACGGCCCCGCAATGGCGATGCTGGTGTCTCCGTTGTGATCGTCGCAGACCCATCGCCCGGAGAGGTAAGTGGTCCTCCTGGCCTCCGCTAACTTGCTCACAGTGCTGGAAGTCATGGTGCTGTCGCTCTCAGAGGAGACGTCGGCGGGGTCCCTGGACCGAAGGCAAGGAAGAGGCTGTCACCCGGGGAGCAGAGTCTCTGAAAACCAGGCGCAGGCCAGACCGAGCGTCTCTGAAAGAGAAGGACTGGCCGGAACTGGATCTTGGGGGGCCGCCTGCACCGTCTACGAGTGGCTTTTGTTACCCAGTGCCCTAGAGCACAGGAAAATTTTGCCCAAGGCACTGCAACAAGAGTTGGGTAGCCATGCCGCTTCCCTACGCAGTGTGTGTGACCACAGAATGGGAAGCAATGTGGGAGATTGTGCCAGAAGAGTGTACGGAAAATAAGTAAGGGGAGAGCAAGCCAACTGCTCCAGATGTCTAAATGAAGCTACCCTTCCCGATTCATGGAAGCATCCTTGTGCAAAGACAGCTGAGAGCAGGAGCAAAGCAGAGGAGCAGCCAGAACAGCTGTGCAAGACTGGGAAAAGAAAAGCTGGTTCCCCCCACCATTCCGTGTCTCTCCGTGGCTGTTCCTGGCTGGAGAGAAGAGGCCACAAGGAGAGCTTGGTCAAGGCGTACAGGCACCCTCAAATGCCAAGCTGAAGAGATCCCCTCTGAAATACCTGCTCCTTCCAGTAGCAATGCCCTAACGCAACCTGCTTGCAAGGAAGAGGCAGATCATGTAGTTCGGACCTTCCTGGAGGAAGGCAGAGGAGCCGACTGACAAACGCCCCAGGGCCCCTGGCAATCTGAGCAGGAGGTGGCTTGCAGTTGACCCCCACCCCTCCCCCCCCCGAGGCACGTGGTTCTCCGCCTCCAGCACCTTTTTGCAGCCTGACAATCCACTCTACTGAAGAATCTAAGTCAAGGTGGGCAACCTCCAGAGGTCCGGGGACGGCGCATGCTCATCCTTATACCACAACAGGCGGCCCCTGCGGCTGCCACCCCACAACAGAGCAAACCCCTTGCAAAAGGTTTCTGATCACAAACTAGGGGTTCTACAATGAACTGACCCTCCTAATTCCTCGAGGGGCTGATCTATTTTCTTTTTTAATTTTGGAGGTGGAGATGATCACTTCTGATGCCAGGGGTGGTCTCAACACAAGGCAGAAACTTGCCGCCCTCCGCCATTCGAATTTCCCACCATCAGCCTGTGGAGAAGCGCCGACCCCAGCCTCACTGGAGCCCATCAGGAGACGAGTGGCCGGAGGGAGCACCCTGGCCAGGCTCAGCCTCCCTGCGCTGGGCCACTGCTGGTGCCGGTTCTGGAGTTGGAGGCATCATCATATTTGAATTTCCCACCATCAGCCCGTGGAGAAGCGCCGACCCCTGCCTCACTGGAGCCCATCAGGAGATGAGCAGCTGGAGGGAGGACCCCGGCCAGGCTCAGCCTCCCGGCGCTGAGCCACCGTTGGTGCCGGTTCTGGAGTTGGAGGCGTCATCGAACACCAGCAGCAGTGGCAGCTTCGGCTTGAGACTGCCTGGTAAGGTAAGGTGGCAGTTTTTAAAAACTGTTGTGGGTTGGTTTTGCAGGGATGTTTTTGTTTTTTTTTGGCAGTCCCAGTGTGGGACTTGCTCTGTTTATTTTTATTTCATTTTTTGGGAGATTTTTTTGGGGGGCCGGAACAGATTAATCGCGTTCCCATGCATTCCTATGGGAATGCATGCTTCAACTTACAACCATTTTTGACTTACGTCCCATCTTCTGGAACGGATTATGGGCGTAAGTCGAGGCACCACTGTACTTCCTTAGAGTGCTCAGGAAGATAAATCTTATCTCAGCATTTACTTCTGTCCTACTATCGTAGTACCGTAGAGAATTTCCCAACAAAGGGTTATCTTCTCACAGTATGGGAGCTGCTCTGAAATGGATGGAAAAGTTTTACAGAGAATTACTAAAATTGCCCAAAATATTATTGGACTTTCAGCTTCCAACCTTGGACAACATCTTTGCATCTCACTGCTTGAGGAAGTCATTAAATATTCTGAGAGACACTTCCCACCCTGCTTATAACTTCTTAGAGCTGTTGCCTTCTGGCAGAAGATACAGAGCAATTAGAACTTGGACAATACAATATCTGAATGGTTTTTCTATAGTTGCACTTAATAAGGAACTAAGAATTGTCAGCAGTGAGTTGTTGGACTGTATTACTATTACTTGGTCTGTTGTGTTGCATGTTGTTCGGATACTATGAGTTTTAGGCAGGGGGTTGAGATTTAGGGATTGTTACGAGGGTGTGTGTGTGTGTCTGTTTTCGGTCTGGTCTCCGAGTGTTCTTTGTGAATTAAGTTGTATGTGTATACAGTGGGGTCTCGACTTACGAACTTAATCCATATTGGAAGGCAGTTCTCAGGTCGAAAAGTTCTTAAGTCGAATCTGCATTTCCCATAGGAATGCATTGAAAACCATTTAATCCGTATCTGCTCTTTTCCGTCCATAGAAACTAATGGGAAGCTGCTATTCCACCTTCTGCCACTAGAGGGGGATATTTTTTCTTTTTTCCTTTTAACCTAAGATGACTTAGCTTTAAAAAAAAGGGAAAAAAAGAGTTCGTAACTCGAATCTAAGTTCATAAGTCGAGTCCATATATTCCTATGAGAGCAGTTCGTAAGTCGAAACGTTCGTATGTCGAGCCATTCGTAAGTCGAGACCCCACTGTACAGTGTGTATGCGTTCAATGACAATAAATTGAAATTTGAAATGTATCAGCCGATGGGTGAAAAGGCGGCTATTCCATGCCCACCCCTGCTTTATTTGTATCTTACGGACTGGAAAAAAGCCGAGACTGCCTTCTGGCACGACCGGCACCGCAGTTCCTCCTGCCCTCACCTCATGCCAACCTTCACTTCCTCGATGGGGAAGATGACGGAGGTCAGTTCGAGGACGTGGGACCGCCGGAGGTCGGCCAGATGCTCGTGCTGAACTCTCAGTTCGTAGCGCCTCCTCTCCACCAACTCTCCGAGCTTGTGGTTGTGCCTCTGGATCTTCTCCTTCTTCTCCTGATGGCGCTGAGCCCGGCGGTAAAGCTTCTGGTTCTCGTCTTTAATCCGAAGAAGCCACTCAGAATCTAAGACAGGAAAGGCAATGGAGACGCTTTGCAGCGGGTCCTTTAAAAGACGCTGGGCTTGTTACTAACTCAAAGCCGTCGGCGGTTGCTATCTTTGGGATCATCTGGCCTTGCCTGGGAAAGGAGTGGCGGGGTTTTTGCTCCCCAAGCAGGGCCAAGCCGAGAGAAGAGGACCTTCTTCCCGGAATGGCAAGTCACAACCTACCATTTCCAGTTGAACCCAGGAGCCTCCCACAACCTGCTCTACACACGCACACACACACGCACGCACGCACGCACGCAGATGTGTCAGGGCTACCAAAAATGGCCCTGATCTTTCCATCCGTAACATTCCAAGGGATGGCACATTCCCACCGCACCCTTGGCAACACCCCTGAGGCTATGGAGAAAGAGGCGTGCGCTGCTGAAGTCAGGCGGCTCTTCTGTGACTTACTTTTTGCCATTTCTTCGTTTTCTTTGCTAATCGTTTGCTTCAGTTGCTCAATTCTCATCTTGCAAGACATTATTTTCCACCTCTGAAAGAAACAGAGGAAACAGATCAACTCTACACATCCACTGTCCGAGCGCTCTCTTCCTCTATCAAGATACCTGAAAGAGAAAGAGACCAGAGAGGCTGCCCCAGTCATTTTTTGGCCAATGGAGAGAGTTATGGCTTCAGTCCAAGGTTCGGTACTGGGAGAAACGCAACAAGCTGAACAGGGAACAGAAGATGCTCCTGAGAGAGAGGGGACCATCCATCCTCTTGAAGAACATGCAGCCTTGAACCATAGAGGGATATAAACTGTCTGAAACAGCTGTGTCAGCAGAATCAGTGGGGGGGGACACTCACCAGCTGATCGGATATCCACTTTCCTTCCATAGCTTTTAACAACCTATAAAAAAAATAAAGAAGATATGGAAAAGTAGCCAGATGACCAGAAATCACCTTTCTAGTAAACATCAACGTTTAGGAAAATTCAAGCCTAGACTAAGGGGGCGGGGGAAAAAGATACTTACTGGGACTGGAATTCATGCTCTTTGCTTCTAAGGTGCTTCAATCTCTCCTTCTTTTCAGAAAATCTGGAAAAAGCAGAACATGTAAGGTTGCAGATATGAATATCATCTCCAGATCTTTTTGTTTCTGACCACAGGGTCTCAATTGTCATCGTTTAATCTGTTTGTCACGTAGAGAAGTGTAGAAGGTTTATAAATAAGATTAAAAAGAACCTCCACTTATAGAATGTTTAATGTAACCTAAAACAGTGGCATAATCACCCACTAAGTGATGCTGTATAATATGAGTACAAATTACTTTAGAACATAACACAATATATAATGTAATGTAACATCATGTACTACATTATAGTACCGCAGGCCCAGCATCGCTAAATAGGTCATCATGGGTTAAGTTGCATCCAACTTTCAGTGACCTCAGCAGGGTTTTCAAAGTAAGTGAGATATTTAAGGAATGGTTTTACTCCTTTCAGTTTCTGTGCCAGAGCAATAATTTGATTCCAGGTCTCCTGAGATCTATCACTCTGTCCATTACACCCGTACTGAATACCATGAACTCAGATGAGTTAAAAATGCTCAAGAATGTTAAGAAATGCCTGGCTGGATTCAGCCACAATCACCCTCAAGATGCTTCTCCAGAAATTGGCTATGGGCCCTCATGGTACATAGCTTGTCAATATCATATATCACATATCAACCCCCTGAACAAACACAAATGTGTTCACACTCATCCTATTGGGTTATGCTGCCACCAGGATCTTTACAATTCTGAATATGCACTCTTTATAACAACAACATTGTAAAAGTGAAGTCAGCCCACTCACAACTTAAAGCAACAATGTACCATTAAAATAGTCCATGTTTAATAGTTTTTCAAGCCTCAACAACAAGATGTATACCAAGACAAACAAAAACTTAAATGCATGCAGACAGATTCTGTTCCCCAAAGCAATTTATTTCCCTCTGAAAATGCCCTCTACATCATCTCCATAGCTTCTTTATAAAACGTGTACATTTAAATTCGTTGTGGGATGTTGCACCTCCACCAATATCAGTTCCTGCTGTATGTTCTGGTAGCATTTCCAGGTTGACTCATCTAGACTAGTAAGATTAGGGTTAACTGGGGTGGTGGGAAATCAGCCAAACGGATCACTCATTAGTGAACAAATCAGTCTCACGCAGAGGAACCTGTTTAGCAAAGTGAGGAAATGCTCATCTGTTTCTCCGGATCTTGATGAAGGCCACTTAATCCTCCTTTTTACACATCCACACAGACTCAACGAGTTAACTTTCCTATTGTGCAAAAGATGGGCTGTGCTTCCATTCTTACTTCAGAAAGAGATCATGCCACAGGAGAAAGTACCAAAGGTGGCAGACAGTACCATGGGCATCGCTGTGCTCATCTGGGCATGGAAGCCTCTTAATAATGCCAAGACACACCCTGAATACCAGAACTTCGGCGAAGTTGTTCAATCCTCTTTCAATAGTCATTTAATCAATTATTGATTTTGAGCTGCTGTCCTGGTTTCCTCTTCCTTCTCCTCCTCCTTTTTTTTTGGACATTCTGGGTAATAAAGTTTATTGGTTCTCTTTATTTATGTCAAAGATGGGATTGGGTAGTCGTGTCTCAACGGTTGTTAGCAGCCCAGAGTAATGCTTAGGGCACTAGACGAGTGGACTATAAATGTAACAAATAAAATAATAATGCAAACACATGTTAAGCTTTTGACAACCTTCTAACTCTCTAATACACAGCCCTCACATGTTACCAAGCTGCTAGTTGTTCTCCTTGAGGGTGGAGGCATGCACGGTCACACCAAACAGATTGGGAAAAAAATGGGGTGTAGCTGGTACTGCAAGCTGGCTGGAGAGCTCAGTGGTTCAGGCCGAGAGTTCGGTTCCCCACTGGGAAAAGAGCCATCCTGGGTGGCCTTGGGCTACCTGCAAAAGCTGGCTGGAGAGCTCAGTGGTTCAGGCTGAGAGTTCAATTCCCCACTGGGGAACAGCCAAGATGTCCCCAGAAGAAGGGAATGGTCAACCACTTCTAAGTATGTGTGAGCTGGGAAACCCCAAAAAGGGTCACCCTAAGTCAGAATTGACTTGACGGCCTGTGATTATTTATGAACAGGTACCTGTACCCTTTTCTTCTGGGACTTCTCTATAAGTAACTGCCACAGAAAATGTTCCATGATCATAATGTACGTAGCCTTTGCGTTTACAGTAAGAGCTCACATCTGGCTGTGGCTACTCACTTAGCAGTAGGGTTAAGTTGCTGAACATTTCTACAATATTTCGTTTGCATCACCTCCTTTTTGATATTTGTGTAGCGGAGAATAGCGCTGACTTTCTAGCGTGTTTGTGCAGCGCAAGCCCAGGCATACTTTCTCAGAAACAAGCCCATTGGTGTTCAATGTGATTTTCTTCCATATACATGCGTATAGGGTTGCACCAGCATAAGCATTTGAGAACAGCGGGGTAAACATGGAGAGTAGCACGGTGTTCCTCTCTTCTAAGAAGAGCTGGCGAGTTTCCAAGGGACACCACTTCTACTACAATGACTTTTTGCACACACCCCAGCAACTTCCCACCACAAGCGAAGTCCAGTAGAGACATTTAGGCTTATCTGATGAGCTGCCCAAGATGCCAAGTGCCAACAGGAGAAATAATGTAAGATCATTTTAGTTCCTAGTGGCTTGGAGTCCCAGTCGGTGACTGAAAATGGTGATCTCTGATGGAGGATTAAAAAATTGGAAGAAAAAGTGAAAGTCATACAAATAAGCACTTTGTTGTAAAACATTACAGTGGTGTCTCGCTTAACGAGCACCCCGTTTAACGATGAATCCGCATAGCAATGGAGTTTTTGTGATCACAAAAGCGATCGCATTGCAATGTTTTAAATGGGGGGGAAATGGCTTTGCGATCATCCCAAGCCCCCCCCCGAAAGAGAGCCTTGGACCTGCAAGGGGAGAGAGAAAGAGCGCGCGGGGTTTGCGAAGCTGGCTTCCCAAACCCCCGCCGACTTCGTCTCTCTCTCTCTCTCCCCGCCCCCTCGCAACTCCAGCCTGGGCAGGGAGACTTAGTCACCCTGGCCATGGCGGCGCAGTGCCTCAGTCTCCTTGCCCAGGCTGCACCTGCAAGGGGTGGAGAGAGAGAGAGAGGGCGCGCCGAAGCACAGCTGATCGGCGATTCCAAAATGGCCATCCACTGTGTTGCCTCGCTTTAGAGGCACCGAAAATGGCGGCAGGATGGAGGATTTTCGCTTAAAGGTGAGTTTTTCCACCACAGGAACGCATTGAACATGTTTTAATACATTCCTATGGAGTTTTTTGCCCCGCATAGCAACGAATCCATATAGCAATGATTTTTTCAGAACAGATTATCGTCGCTATGCGGGGCACCACTGTATTTACCCCATATTTTTGGCCTGATAGGTTTCTCCCTACTGGTGTATGTAGTAAATATAGACCAGTAATCGCAAAGAGTAAAAAGGGGAGGCTGTTGATATAGGAATTGCAAGACACCAGATCAGTTCAAAAATTTACCTCCAATCTCTCTTGAGATCGCCTGACTAAACCTCCTTTGGGCAAAGAGCCACCACATTATCCTCTCCCGTTACTCTACTACATGAAAACATTATTACCATAGGTAATAATACTGACATCTGGGCACCCCCAACAACATCTGGCTGAAGGACTTAGGGAGCTATAGTTGAACACCTGTGTACAAAGTTGGGAGAGGCTGGAGAGCAGCTCCAAGGAGCCTCTGAGGCCAAACACAGAGTCCAGCAAGGACGTCCATCCCATTCTATGGTTACCCTAAAAAAAGCATGGGTCTCCAGGTGTTCTTGGAGGAAAACCCCCAGAAGCCTTCCCCACTAGCTGTGCTGGCCAAGGGATTTCTGGGAGCTGAAGTCCCAAGAACATCTGGGAACGCAACCTCTGTTCTAGAGCATGGGCTGGTTAAATGCAGCTCCCGGTGCACCCTTCAATGCTCCTTGAGCCATTCCTGGTCAAAAACAGCAAATCACACCCCTAGATGCGTCTGAAAAACTCAATTAGCAATGCCCACGTAATTCTGTCCCTTTCCCTGATTTAGGACAAGAAGGGAAGGTTGTTTTTTTAAATAGAGTTTTGAAAAAAAAGATCTTTACCTTTACTTATCTATGCTTCCAAGGGAATATTATATTAAAACATCAAATCATTTCTCCCCACCCCAGTTGGGAGGAGCGTTTTTTTTCATCAGGGGGTGTTTGGCCCTCTAAGGTCCAAGGCAGACCAAACGTCCCCTCCCCTGGGCCCTTAAGCCACACCGTCTCAGCTGCACAGGGAAGAAGGGAATCACAGAAATCGTGGCGGTCGAGCCAACAAGACAGTCCGTGAACCGTGCGGGAGGCGGCCAGCCCCTCTCACAGGTTTCCCAAAGTGAGCCTCCCGAAAACAAAATGCTGTGAAGGGTCTAACATTTGCTGCCGGCTCGTACAGTTTAAGGGCAGCTTCCAAAGAAATTGTACACTTGCGATCTGTGTCTTCATGGCATCGCTTGACCGCCAAAGGTGTGGGATGCCTTGTGCTTTCTTTTTGGTTTATAACAGTTAACAACGTTTACATAATATATTTCTGGTACTCAAAGGACTTCAGAACTGGAACAACTGCAGCAGCATTGTCAAAGCCTCGAGTAAGTGAACATGGCCCCCAACATCTTCCCCTCCTCCCAGCATTGCTTTATGTTAAGGATATTAAGCCTTGTATTCTTGAAAGCTTTCACAGCCGGGATCTGATGGATGTTGTAGGTTTTTCGGGCTGTTTGGCCATGTTCTGAAGGTTGTTCTTCCTAATGTTTGGCCAGTCTCTCAGAGGGCCAGAGTTAGAATTCTGTCTGTGTTCTCATCTATCCCACACACTACACCAGAGCACAGACAGAGTTCCGACTCCTGTCCTCTGAAGACGCCGGCCAGAGAGACTGGTGAAACGTTTGGAAGAACAACAACCTTCAGAACACGGCCAAACAGCCCGAAAAACCTACAACAACCATCAATATCAAGCCTCATTTTCAGAGGTATTGGAGGTGTGTGGTCAGGCAGAAAGTTGGAGTATATATATTTTGAACAAATAACAAGAACAACTGATGCTGTCAGCTCTACTCCAACTTAGGGTGATCCTGCCCAGCA